TGCATCAGTAAATTGTTTACAAAAGTACTAAATCTTTGTATTTGTTTTCTAACAACCTAAATATATTTTCCTCATGCTAAAAATACAAGAATGCAATCATTATCTTAGAAGATGCCCTAGAAAATAACCAAAAATCTTACCTCTCATCAGGAAGTAACTAGATTTTTCTGCCTTAAATTCATCAGAGAAAAAAGCAGGTCTTTTAGGTGAGGGTTTCTCACAATCTGAAAATAAAGATCAATATGTTATAGCAAAAAGTAGTTTTCATATAAAATGTTAATATCATAATCAGTTTACTTTTTCAGAAATATTTCCTTCCATTGGCTCCTAATATTTAAATAAATGAAGCTCCTTTTAAAAATTTTATCACTTGTTACCTTCCACTTCAGTGTATTATCTAATGTTTGAACAGTCCTTTATGCGAAAATAATGTGCATCATATACATTGCCTTACACTTTATCTTCTTTTTGCCAAAATTGTATATTTGGCCTATACAGAAAAAAAAAAAGCAGCAATTTTTTTTTTACTGTCATGGGGAAAAACATATTTTAAAACTAGTTTTATACCTTCCTCAGAAGTAGAATAGAGTAATTCTTCCTCTGATGTTCTTGGCCAGCAATATTCATTAGGAACTTCCTGTTCATTATTTTTGGGTACTGTTTTCCATTTAAATAAACTTTGGTGTCTTTTACGCGTATTAGGAACTGCTGTAGTATCACAGAGCAAAGAACATGCACATATTTTGTTGACTGTACCCATTTTCAAATCTTTTTTTATCTCCATTTTTACCTCCTCAACACCATTATTTTCTCCGAAGTAATTTCCTTGCCCATTGTTTGTTTCCATGGGGCTTAGAATTTCATTTTCCTTACTAATTTCATGAAACATACGAAGTTCTTCAAGAACTAAATCAAATTTACTCTTCATCTCAAAATCTTTGGCTATTGTCAGAGCTTCTGTTGATAAACACTTGGCATTTAAGTTCTGAAAACATTCATTGTTCCCTACACTCAGATCAGTTTCAAATTGATAGTTAACACATTCTGTAGAGTCATTCTTTGGATGAAAATGCTTTAAATTAGCTAACTCGCTTTCTTGCAAAAAACTCTCATCTTCATGTCTGTCAGCTAGATTATTTTGATTAACATATTTAGTGTTTCTCACATTTACTTTCTTTCTCATTAAGGAAACTGGTTGCACAGAAAACATGCCATCCGTTGAATAAAAACTATTTTTCTCTTCCTTTTTAATCTTAATATCTTCATGAACTTGGCCAATGTTTGTTAAACTTTGTACTGTGGCTTTTTCTTCCTCCTTTAAAATTAAGCTATGTTTCTTTCCTGCAAGTCCACTTTTCAGCAAATTCCCAAAATTGAGCACCTGAGTTATAATAGTGGAATTGGTTTCTTTACTATATTTTGTGTTGTGGCTTGTCAGCATAGTTTGTTGCCTAATATTGAGGGAATCTTCAAATACGTGCTTAAAATAAAAGCTACTGATCTTATTATGCTCCAGTTTTCTTTCTGTATCTAAATCTTGGCTGTGAATATTGATTTCATAAAATTTTTCATTAATATATTTATGGTTGTTCTGTGTGAATTCAGGAAGAGACTTAAGATGTATTTTAGCACTATTAGTACTAGAGTGATCCCAATTTTCCATATTCATGACTTGTTCAGGACAACTCTTACTCTTGTAACTAATTTCTTTTGTCAAAGAAATTTTGTCCGTATCATCACAGTCCATTGAAAGAGAAATATTTTCATGTATTTCAAAAATTGGAAAATGTATATTTTTAGTTGTCATGCTAAAGGAATTGATGACTTTTTTCTTAGACTCTTCAAAAACTTGTTCAATTTTAAACAGCTTTCTTTTCTCTAACATAGATTTCATATTATTTTCTAATGGTTTTGGAAAAGTTAAAGTCCTTCCCAAATATACAATATGAATTTCCACCATAATATTTTTTAGATAATTCAAATACACTATCCATTTGAAAATACATCCCTCTTCTATTTTGGAATCATTTTCAATTTCGGGTAAAAAGTCAAAGTTATTGAGCAAAGAAGCTATGTTGCTTTTCAATATAATACTTAGAGGTTTTGAAACATTGGTTTGTAAATATATGCTTAAAATATCATTCTTTCTAATGACATTCATATTCCTTGTTATTGGATTTTGAACATCAATTTGCTTTATACACTTCAAAATTTCATACCAATTTAAAATATTATCTTTTTCTGAAATACTTTTACGGAAACAAAAACTTTCTATAATGAAACTCTCAAAAATATTGCTTAAACAAAAGCCCTTTTGTGCAGTATATTTCAACTGTAGCATATTATTGTTTTCTCCTTTAGCATTTAACCAAAAACAATTTAATAAAGCTTTTTGGCAACTCAGTGTGCCTATCATGAAAAACTTTGGTTGTTCTTCATGTGTGTTCATGGCTTTTGTATTATAATAATCTACTTTGCTGAAAAGACCTATTTCTAATAACTGTAGCCAATTCAATTTTTCTCCAGGATTTTTCATATTTTCACGTTTAGTTTTGTAATTTTCCATAACCCAACTATTTTCCCTCTTTTTTCTCAAAATATGTCTAATATTACAGTCCCAGCTTTGAGATTTTTCTAATCTGGTATATATGTAACTGTCCAGGCATGTTTCTGCTTCTTCCCAATTTCCATTTTGTAGTTTTATAGTAAAATTGTTTTCAGAGTCTCTTACATGAGGCTTGATACCACTGTGGTTATAGTAGTGTAAACTGATCAAGTCTCTTTTTTCCACACAAATGCTTTGGTTCCTGAGTGACTCGCGGTTACTTTCATAACAGTCAGAAAAAACATTTTCTGCATCCACGATTTTTGTATCATCCTTTAACTTTTGCTTCTTAACATACAGCCTATTTGAGGACCGGTGAATGTTTGCGAAATCCCCAACGTGTGTCCCGTCATTGTCGCTCTTTCTCTTTGCTGTGTCCTTTAAATAGACAGGGCACATGTTGCTATTCACGTCAGTTGGAAGCTCGGGGATACTAATTGCGCTGCTCTCTCTAAAACGGCTAGGTTTGGCAATTTCCACGCTGGGCTGGCTTTGAGACTTTGGTGTTTTGAGCGCACATGCTGAAAAGATGGTATTTTCTTTTATAGTTGATGGCATAACACGGTCAGCTTTACGTCTGTTCTTAACTTCATGAAATGTCGATTCAGTTTCCTTATAAAAGGTAACATCCAAAAACAGATTCTCTGTCTGTTTTATATAACTCTTGTCTCGCTGACTATTGTCTCTCCCTCGGACTAAATATTGTTGTCCACCCTCCCCGTTCGCTCCGTGCGTCTCGCGTGTGGAGGCTTTGGGCGGAAGCCGGCCAGCCTCGGCTTTGGATCCATCGCCGCACTGGACGCGGAACACCTCGCTGACACACAGGCCTGGTTCCGAAGCCCTCACATCAGAATCAGAACTTTGTGAGGGGGGAGGCTGCGCACAGCTCTTCACCTCCAGTTTGTTATTTTGGCACCTCAGATCACATGTCTGCATCCCACCGGCAGATTTCTCCACACGCAAGTCTGAGGAGTTATCGAAAATCACGTTCCCTGAAACGAGGAGCGCCTCGAAGGGCCTGGGCGACAACTCCCAGGCTTTTTCCTCCTCAGACAAGCGAGGCACCAAAGGCAGCCTCCATTTTGCCTCAGAGACACCGCCAGGCTCCTCGACACAGAGCCGCTTACTACTGGGGGGCTGGGACTCAGGGTCCTCAGGAGGCGGTAAAGGGGAGGCCGGCTCCCTGAGCTGGGCAACCAGCCCCTTGCGGCGCGTGAGCGACATGACAGAGAACGGAGAGGATCTGTCCGAGGTTCTGTCACGCTCCGGTCTCTTAGCCGGCGCGAAGACGCTCCGCCTCAACACCCAGATCCGCCCTGGTCACGCCCCTGACACGCCCCCTGAGGCCGCACTCAGCTATAGCTCCACTGCTAGCCCCGCCCTCACCACGCCCCTCCGCCGCCCCAGCCTCAGCCCCGCCCCGGTCCTGCCCCCATCCAACCCACCCTCGCGAGCTCCCGAGTTGTTTTTCCCGCCAAGTACAGACTGCCGGCGACCGTTACGTTTGTCTATTTTTAGTAGCACCTCTGGCTTATGCCAGGACTGCAGCTGGTCTAAATGTTTTCTTCCCTCTATCAGAATTAAGAAGAAAAGTTAGAATGTCAATTAGTTTTTTAATCTGTGAAACAGCTTTATTTTTTAAATTCTAAAATTCTACATTTTCCTCAGAAGTGACTTCTCCACAGCTGCTTTCCAGCGTCTTGTCCAGTAAAATCTCGTAGTTCTGTAAGCACCAGACCAGATTTCTCTGTGTGTAGAAGCACTTTAAAATGCTCTTAATCATCCGAGTGGCATTTGAAGTCAGATTTCCACTTCACTAATAAAGTGTGTTTTGGGGGAAGAGGTCACTGGTATTGAAAAATCTTTCCTGAAACAATATTTCAGGAAAAAGTGTGTGGAAATTATTATCCAGATATTACTCTTCACTTCAAGACTGTAGAAATATAGTTTTCACACACACTGTGGGGTTTCTTTCCCTAATATTGAAGATAAAGATACTTAAAGATAAAAATTATATGTTTCAGCTATTCCATTTATTGTAAGCATAAATAATAACACCGTTCTGACTCATACCTAATAAATTTTGTAAATGTTATTTTTCTTTTCCTCAGCTTTGAGAATAATTTATTATTACCTGTCAGTTTTGATTTTGTGAATTCCATAGTCAAAAAGAAAAATGATTTTCAAAAATGTATTATTATTTACATGTTTACTAAAAAATAACATTTAATTACTGTTTAGTAATCTAATACCTCATCTCAATGATTGTTTCAAAGTTGTTAAATTTAAATAAAGAGTGAATAAAAATGAATAAGCACTACAATAATGTGCAACACGAATCCTAATTTCAGAACCCACGAGAGCATATATGGCAAGATATGAATGAAATACTACTTTAAGCAATAAGATGTTCATAAACCTCCTCCTGTCTTGTAAATATTCTTAGATATATTGAGATTCTAATTCTGGGCACTTGCTATTAGTTTATATTTTAAATTCCTCCTGTGAGATGTTTGCTTAAATTTGTAGTATAAGCACTTCATCAACACTATAAGAATGTAGCAGTGGTTCCGATTATACATCAATGAGCTCTCAAAGTGCTACTTCTATATATCTTAAATTCCACTGCTTTTTTTTTTTTAATCCCGGATTTTCACAATTCTACATTCCATTCTAATGCAGTCTGTTCTATGCTGGTGACCATAAGAACTAACTTGCATAGCTAAGGTAGTTGTCATTGGAAACACTAACATGATATAGGGAACAAGTTTTCTATCTGTAAAGTAAATGCTATAGCTTTGATTCTAGATTGATTTATAACTTGGTGTTTGGTTGCCTCTTCATCTTGCCAGTTTGCCCAAGAACACACTATGTGTTAGATCTCCATCACACCATTATTTAAAAACTATGCATTGTGAGGACTAGATTTCAAATGAAACCCAGAAGTATCCAATTTAACTCAACAATTGTTTGAGTACTATGTCTAAGACACTCTCAGGTGTACAGAAATAGGCGGGGTTTATTCTATTCTGAAGAAACTTAATTGCAATGAAGACAGAAAAAGAAGTCTTTTGTATTTATACTATTTACGTGTGTTTTTTGCTTTATGTTTTAAATGCCACCTTGAAAATACACTAGTTATAAGTGAGAAATGCAAAAAGTTCTAAACAAATCCTCATAATTAAAATATAAATGACACTTGTTCAAATCTGACTCTTCAAAGCCCATTTTAAATGTCACACTTTTCTATATCGCTTTATCAGCACTTCCTATGAAAGTTGCTACCTCCTTTAATAACAGTGAACTGAGCTTTAAGGATAGCATTTGTCATTCCTTTCAACTCGGTGTCTTATTACAGTTCAGATCAGAATGAATGAAAAAATTAATAAGTTAATGAGGTAAACCCCATATTGAAAAGATGACATGAGCTCCTGGTAGCATTAAGTCAGAAATTCATTCTGTGCCTCAGGATACCTAAAGTCCAACGTCCTTATCACCGTATGGCAAATCTTCACAACTAGGTCCTACCTTAATTTTTTGGGCTTCCTCTTTTCTTACCATTTGTCCCATGCTACCTAAACCAGACTGTTATTTCCTTTCCTTCAATGTCTTCTTTCTCTACCTGACAAATTCCTATTCAGCCTTAAAGGGTCCTGCCAAAAGTTACCTGGACTGCGGAAGCTTCTCTACTTCATCCCTGCTCAAACCAATCCCCAGGCAGACTTATTTGCATCCTCATCTGCATTCCAATAGAACTTTATTTTCAACTGTATTATAACACTTAAAACATCTTACTGTGCTGAATTGTTTACAACCCCTCCACTAGACTCTGTTAATTGGGGCAAAGATTTATTCATTTTTCTATCCCCAGTGCTTCACATTAAGTACCTCAGCTAATGAGAAAAATGGAATGATATTACTGTTACTATACCTGTACCAATCTAATTGGGTCTAGTGATGTCTTGAGTGTTTTAAGCTTCTTGTTTTGGTTTTGTTTTTATATGTTAACCATACATTTGCTTGAGACCATCATAAAGGAAAAACTTGACTTTAAATATTACTGGCTTTAACATCATTTAAGTTTCATCGTAAGACCAGATATTTGACAAGACTTTTTTTTTCTTTTATGTCCTTTAATAAATAAAGCAAATGGTGAATAAATATGCTAACCTAAAACTTTATTTTAGACTGACAAGATATACAAATATGTTTTAATATTTAATAAGAACCACTAACAAAAATATTTAAACCAAATACAGAAGTTAGAGAGGAAATCATTACTTACTATAAACATTTAAAATAAATATGGCTAGGAGGTTCTGCATTGGTGAACACATTGAGGTGCTGGGAGAGTAGTGCCACCAACTTTAAGTAAACTTTTCCTGAGTTCTGTGAGTCTGCGTTCAAACAAATTATTGAACCTGAGGAGGGATCAATAATTGTGGGAATCCCTGATTCCTAGCCAGTGGGTCAGAAGTACAGGGGGCCTGGGACTTTCAACTGATGTCCAAAGTGGGGGCAGTCTTGTGGGACTGAGCCCTTAACCTGTCGGGTCTGACACTAATTCTGGGTAGTGTCAGAGTGTTGGAGAAGTTGGACAAACTCCCCACACATTTGATGTCAGAAGTGATATGAGTAAAGCATCATGGAGGTGTTTGTAGCTATAATTTTCCCTCTACGCACTGCGGTTTCCCATAACTTATATATGAGGCATTTTCATTTTAATTTATCTCCAAGTGCTTTGTAGTTTTCTTTGTTGTTACTTAGGAGTGTTTTATTTAAGGTCCATAAATTTGTGAGTTTCCCAGAAAGAATAAAATAAAATAAATAAGGCCATAAATAACACAAATAGCAGTTTTTATCAAGTCACTAAGAAGCACTAGGTGGGAAAATATTTCAGAAGACCATGATGCTGTATGTATCCATATATGCAGTTAACCTTTCAGCAGAGCAATAATGGTAATTTATAACATAAATATAATCTTAAATGAGGTAATGTATGTACAAATTCTTTAAACTGCAAATCACCTCCTTATTCTCAATTTTCACTAATGACATTATTATCTACCTAGTCTACTAAACTACTACAGAAACTCTTAGTGTTATTCATAACTTTTTCTCTTTTGTACTGTCTTTCCCCAGCATCCAACCCCTATGCAGACAGTCATCAAATCTCATTGATCCTACATAACCCTGAAATTAATACATCAAACATAACCCTGAAATTAATCCTCCGTTCTTTATCTATAATGTTTCACCATATTTCAGGCCGTTATAACCTGTTTCTGAGAACATTGTAATAACTGATCTTTTTACCAGTTTCTCAACTTCTACCCAACACTACTACAAGACTTTTTTTCTTAAAATATTAATCATTTTGTTACTTCTTACTTAAGAACTTCTTTTGACTCTCATACCTACAGAATAAAATACAAACTATTTAATTTGGCTACAAAGTTCTTCATAGTTCATCTCCAAGCCTTTTTTTTTCAGCTTCTATGTCTATTTCCACAACACAACTTGCTTTCCTGCAGCACTAACATTTTCTTCATTCCTTAAATATATAAGGCCCTTTCAGAATTTCAGTCTCCAGCTTATGCTAGTTCAATAGCCTAAAGTTAAAAAACAGGATCTAGGCAAACGCAAAAGACTAGTTTCAACTAGAAAATAAAAATTGACCAAAGATCCAGAAAAACAGAGCTATGATTTCGGGGAGACAAAGGAAGTGGAGAAATACCTCCAGTATTGGACTGAAGTCAACATGAACTCATCAGGGAAGTCATTGATCTAAGGGATCTGGCTATAGACAGAGCTAGCCAGTCAGGATGACAAACAAGGAGGGTCTATAAGAGACTAAGTGATATTTTTAAAATCTAAATCTAAATAGACACTATAATACAGCAAGAAACTGGGCCAGCCGAGTGGTGCAATGGTTAAGAACTGGCTTAGGA